GATCCCCAATTCAGCCCAGGAAGGGCTCCTGATTTCTCGTTAAGCCCAGGAAGGGCTCCTGATCCCCAGTTCCTACCAGGAAGGGTTCCAGCCCAAAAGCTCTCTCCAGTGCCCGCTTAAGAAAGAAATAGGTCCCATTTAATATTTATTTTTACAAATGATGTAGCCTATTATGTGACTCTTATGGGAGTATTGTAAAGGTGCAATGTGTATTATTTACACAGATCTATTGACAGAAATGCAATATAATATACATAACTATGTTTTCAGAGGTGTATAAAGACCTTTCTTAATGAACCGTTATGTTTTTATTACCTTAGATTGAGCAATTTCTATATACATACACCGCGGGTCCCCTTACATGGAAGTCACCACCATGTTTGGGGTTCTGGCCAAGATGGCATACTAGATAGCAGCATTGTGTAACAGCTAGCTGAGTCTCAAAGGTTTTCTTTGTGTTTTATACTTTTCCCTGATAGTTTTTTTAATAAATTAGTTTTTGATCATCTACAGATGGCGGGTAGAGGAATAAAAGCGGAAGATAAGGTCGCGATCAGTAACAGAAATTATCATGATTACGCTGACGCGATGGAAGTGTGTGTTGAAGCAAATAAGCGTCTCTTGGAGGAATGTAGTGCTGAGAATCTACCTGTTACTCCCAGCAAAGTGCACATTACGAAGAAAGTGCGTCCTGATTATAAGGAAGACATTTCTAATGCCGATATCCTCAAGGCTATTTACTCCCTCAGTAAAAGATTTGACAAGCAGGAAGAGAAGTTGGAGGAGTTGACAAGAAAGATGAAAGAGAACTGTAGCGTCATCTCCGAAATTAAGGAAATTTTGAAAGCTCACAAGCAGAAAGCAGCTGAATTGGAGCTGGCGCTTTCTGATCTTAAAAAAGAGAATAAAGAGCTGAGATCTAGGGTAGGAGAATTGGATCGCTACAAAAGACGGTGGAATTTTTACGCATCAAAGGACTGCCAGAGAAACAGAATGAGAACACAAGAGGGGAGGTGATCACCTTGCTTTCCAAGATTGCTCCTGGTGTGCCCTGGGAAATGGAAGAAGCGCTGGACACGGTCCATCGAATTGGCAGAAAAGAAGGAAATCGGATGCGTCAGGATCATCATGCAGTTTTCAAAGTGAATCTACAGAGAGCAAATCTGGGCACTGTCCAAGGGATCGTCCGTGTGCAAGGAGGCAGGCTGTCATTTCGCTGAGGACTTAAACAAAGAGGACAGAGAGGCGAGGCAAGTGCTGTGGCCACGCATTAAACAAGCACAAGCAGAAGAGAAAGCGGCGTACTTTCGGGGTTCTTTTGCTTTCATTGAGGGAAAGCAAATTTTTCCATGATGATGAATATTTGGAAAAAGGGAAATGTTGATTTCTGAGAGATTCTTTTTTGTGTTGCAGGTTTATTCTTCAGATCTCATTACTGACTGTTCAGTGTCATTTTCTGTTTGTTCACTGTGAGTTCCAGTAGAGTATGTTCTCACTAAAGTCTCCTTTAACTTTTTGTTCATTGAATGCAAGGGGTCTAAAGGACAAAGTAAAATGCAAAGGTATATTTTTGTTTTGTAAGGGGCAGAAGTCACTTTTTGTTTTTCTACAAGAGACTCACTCAACTGAAGAAGATGCAGCTTTTTGGAAAATGCAGTGTGGAGACACAATGTTGTTCAGTCATGGCTCCAGTCGGTCAGCAGGTGTCGCCGTATGCCTTAACAATTGCCCTGGGAAGGTTGTGACTTTTCAGTCTGATGCTCATGGACATTGGCTTACTGCTGTGGTTAACTGTGAAGGTATTTTTGTTATTTTAGTTAATATTTATGGGTATAACAGTAGTGGGCAAAACAAGATTTTGTTGTCTAATATTACAGATGCTGTTACGCATTTTAAATCGAAATTTCATACAAATTTGGTACTAATTGGAGGTGATTTTAATTTGGCACCCGATGAGTGGCTGGACAGATCTCCTTCTAGTTATACAAGCCACCATTTCAATATCATTATTCAGGAGTTTTGCCAGGTAAATTCCCTTATAGATATATGGAGGCTCAAGCATCCTAATGCTAGTCCGTTCTCTTGGCTCAAACCTAATGGATCCTCTAAATCATGACTTTTGGCTCATCACTGAGGAATATTCTGAGCTTGCAACTAATGTTTCAATTTCTGCAGCGCCATTAACAGATCATTGCCTGATTTCATTAACTTTGACACCAGCAATAAAACATACCGTTAGGAAAGACTATTGGAAGTTTAATGCAGAACTTTTAAAGGATAAATATTATTGTAGTCAAATAAGAAATTTGATTAGTAAGATTAAAAATGACTTCTCTTTACGTTCTAACGGGATTAAATGGGAGTATTTTAATTGTAAAACTAGGGAAATTTCAATTCGGGTTGCTAAACAAAAAAGCAGAGATCTGAAGCAAAGTGAGTTGAGGTTAATTCTAGAAATTAATACCTGTTGTAATATACAAGAAATGATTCAAGATGCTGAAAAGTTACTCTCTCTTCAAGCTAAATTAGACAGCACTAATGAAAGCACAAGGAGCTTTTGTACGGTCTCGTGCAGAATGGATGGAAGAAGGAGAGAAGAATACGGCTTATTTTTGTCGATTGGAAAAGAGGAGACAGCAAAGTAATGCAGTTCATAGTTTAATTATTAATGATGAGCTAATCACAGATCCGAAATTAATATCTGAGGAAATATACTCGTTTTATAGTAATATTTACTCTTCATCATACTCTGAAAATACTGCTAAGGAATTTTTTGAAAAGGTAAAAGATTTTATTCCACAGATTGATATTGAATTTAAAGAATTGTGTGATGGAGACCTGAGGTTAGAGGAACTTGAATCTGCTATAAAAAAATGCATTTGGGTAAATCTCCTGTTCAGGACAGTTTGACTACTGATTTTTACAAATCCTTCTGGGAGGATATAAAAGATTTGTTATTTAAAGCTTTAAAGGAGTGTTTTGATTCTAATTCTTTACTTCCAACTATGAGACAGGGGTTAATTATTCTCATTCCAAAGTCAAACAAAGATAAAAGAATTATTGAGAATCTGAGACTGATTACCCTACTTAATGTTGATTATAAAATTCTTACATCTGCAATTGCTAATAGGTTAAAATTTAGGTTGAGTCAAGTTATAAGTGAAACTCAATCTGGTTTTATTAAAGGAAGGTTAATACACAACAACATTAGACTTGTCTTAGATTTAATTGATTATGGATATTTAATTAAGGATGATGGGTTTGTTTTGTTTCTTGATTTCTATAAGGCATTCGATACTGTAGAACATAAATTCATTTTACATGCATTGAAGTTTTTTGGTTTTGGTCATAAATTTGTTAAATTAATAGAGATGTTGTACAAAGACATAAATAGTTCAGTATCGTTACCATTTGGGACTTCTAAGAGGTTTAACATTAATAGAGGTATTAGACAAGGGGATCCGTCAAGTCCGTATTTATTTATTTTAATAGCTGAACTGTTAGCAATTTATGTGAAAAATAGTAAAGATATCAAGCCTTTGAATGTTTTAGGGAGTCAGTTATTGATAAGTCAACTAGCAGATGATACCACCCTGTTTCTTAGAGATGTAGAGCAGATTCCAGTTGCCATTAATCTGGTGTCTCATTTTTCAAAAGCTTCTGGTCTGCAATTGAATTTTAAAAAGTGTGAGCTGATGGCACTTCATAGTCATGCTGAATCTCAATTGTTCAATATTCCATTAAAAAATGAGATAAAATATTTAGGAATTGTTATTACTAAAGACCCTAAAATTAGAGAAAAAAGTAACTTGATTGATAATATGAAAAAAAGTCAAAATATTTTAAATATGTGGGTTCAAAGGGATATTTCTATATTTGGCAGAATTCTCATATCTATGCCCCGCCTTTCTGAAACGCGTCGATTTTTACAAAGCTTATCGGTCTGAAAAACGAGGTGTACGCTGATTGGCCAGCTATCCAGTGCGTTGTGATTGGCTGAATACCTCAAGCGTGTGACGGAAATGTTACACCCCTCAACTAGTGATGGGAAGTTCGAATCATTTTACCGACTCGGACCTTTGAGTTTCGTTCAGCAAAATGAACGAATCTTTTTTCGAGTCATTTCGTTCATTTTAGCAAAATATAATTAAAATTTACGTTCTAATGGGATTAAATGGGAGTATTTTAAATTTAAAACAAGGGAAATTTCAATTCGGGTTGCTAAACAAAAAAGCAGAGATCTGAAGCAAAGGGAGTTGAGGTTAATTCAAGAAATTAATATCTGTTGTAATACACAAGAAATGATTCAAGATGTTGAAAAGTTACTCTCTCTTCAAGCTAAATTAGACGGTATGTATCTAATGAAAGCACAAGGTGCTTTTGTACGGTCTCGTGCAAAATGGATGGAAGAAGGAGAGAAGAATACGGCTTATTTTTGTCGGTTAGAAAAGAGGAGACAGCAAAGTAATGCAGTTCATAGTTTAATTATTAATGATGAGGTAATCACAGATCCGAAATTAATATCTGAGGAAATATACTCGTTTTATAGTAATATTTACTCTTCGTCATACTCTGAAAATAATGCCAAGGAATTTCTTGAAAAGGTAAAAGATTTTATTCCACAGATTGATATTGAATTTAAAGAATTGTGTGATGGAGACCTGAGGTTAGAGGAACTTGAATCTGCTATTAAAAAAATGCATTTGGGTAAATCTCCTGGTCAGGACGGTTTGACTACTGATTTTTACAAATTCTTCTGGGAGGATATAAAAGATTTGCTATTTAAAGCTTTAAAGGAGTGTTTTGATTCTAATTCTTTACTTCCAACTATGAGACAGGGCTTAATTATTCTCATTCCAAAGTCAAACAAAGATAATCATAAAAAAAGCCCTTAAACTATGTAATCTTTTGAAGGTATTTTTTGATGTTTAAGCCCCTTGTATTGTAGTTTTTTTTCTGTATTTATTTGTTTTTCATTCTTACTTTTCCTGTTATGTTTATTTTGTTTATCGATGTATTTTTTGTTATGCTGCTATTTGGACTTCTTTGAATTGTATTAAGTTTTTAAATGTTGTTTATGTTAATGATAATGATAATATTGATGATAATGATGATATTCTATTCAGAATCTGATGTTAGACACACAAAGGATCACTGCAAAATGCAATATCAATTCTCAAAAGCAGCTTTTCAGAAACATCTTTAAAATATCTTCTTTTGTGGATATGGAATTCATATTACCTGTCATTCAACTCTTGTTCCAGGTATTTAGATGGGCACATAACCCAAAGCTGTTATTTTTCATGCTAAACCTGTTTAATATTTTGGATTTAGTTGTTGTTGTGTTTTTTCCCATTAGGCTATACATCTTATCATTATCACGTGTTTCCATTTATCTTAATTTCCATATTTACATGCTGCAACGGTTGTGTGATTTTCAATGAAATATTTGACTAATAAATTATTAAATTCTAATTTTAAGTCTTTCTCGTTTATTTGCGCAGAAACAAACAACGCAGCTCATAGACGCACTATATTGCTTCCCTCTCACTCCAGTCCAGCGGGGGGCGCTAACACACATACGTCTGCTTGACAAACACCATTAAACCTCAGAGGAAAAAGATTAATGTTGTTTTGTCGTGATGCTGGCTTAATACAAACGGTTTGTAATGTTGTTTCTGTAAATAGTAAAATACAGTTTTTGAATCAGGTCAATAAATACCTGTATTCTCATCTTCAAAGTCGTGACTAAGTTTGGAAGCAAGCAGGAATATCTGGAGGAGTATCAGCTGTGAAGATGATGTTTGTTAAAGAAGAGAGTGAGGAGAACACGATTAAACCAGAACCCTGGGGAATAAAACACGAGGAACAAAGAGGTTGGTCTTTATTCTTCATTCATCTTTAATGACTGCTTGTGATACATTAACATTAAGCTAACAAAGATTTAACCGGGTGCCTGCGGATCCCTAAAAAGTTTTACATTCCTTAATGTGAAAATAAGGGCTTAATTATCATTAAAGTGTCTTAAATCCACCTTTCAAATATCTTAAATATGCGATGGAACTGACAATGAGATGTATGTTTTATTTTCGCTCGTTGCTGTTTTAGAATCTTAAAACTGTTGAACCCAGAGCGCGTGAGACACATCAGATTCACTTTTAACATCAGTGCAATCTCAAACATTCTGTGGGCAATGTTTTACCTGTTTTTCTGCTGCTTTCCTCCTAATTAGTGTACCTTAATGACATTGTGTTATATTACACTGGCACAAAAAAGGTAAATATGACATGTTTTATCTCTTCTGTCTGCTTTTATTCCTTCACTGTTGGACCACGTGGTAATGGAAATTTATAGTTGTTATTTGCTAAGGTCTCCCATATAAATCTTTACATTTACCCTGCTGTAGTTTACTTCTTTTTTCCAGCTTATTTTTTGATGAAAATGTTTTGAAAATGGTATTAAACAGTATTAAATGTGATGTTCTGATACCTGCAAATACCTCATCAGATTCAGTGGCCCTAGTTATAAAATCTGTAAAATAATGTAGATTGGATTAATAAATAAACAGATGAAGAAAGTAAATTACTTCAAAATGCATCTGAGGTTTTTGTATTTTTTGAAAGTTACTGTGAAGAAACAATACCTACATGCCCATAGACTGAACAATACACATGCACGTGATGTTGCCACTTTCACACATTCATGTTTTTGTAGTTGATGGTCAGTATCATTTTAAATAACATGCACTTTGAACCCTGTTTTCAAAACTTTAAAGGGATAGTTCACCCAAAAATGAAAATTCTGTCATCATTTACTCACCCTCAAGTTGTTCCAAACCTGTATGAGTTGCTTTCTTCTGCTGAACTCAAAGGAAGACATGTTGAAGAATGTTTGTAACATTTGTAACACAAAACAACAGCAATTTGGGTTCAGTGTTTCCCCCAGGTTTGCGGCTTTGAGGGGGGGAGGGTCCGTTTTTTAAAACCTTTTTATTGGTTAAATAAAATTGTATTAATCAAAAAGCATGTCTAATTATTAAAATCATAAAACATCAATTTATTAAGAGTTTAACAAATATTACATGTTTAGGGCCCTATGAAATGTTTTATTTTTTCCAACCTTATGTTTTATTGTTACCAAATTCTGTTTTAACATGTCTAATTATTTGAAAGCATAAAAACAAGTTTAATTTATTCTTACAATAGCCTTATGATTTTTTTGCTCAAAAATTCTGTGTTGTGTATTTACATTTAAGGCATAAAACATTCATTTAATCTATCTTTTAAGTAATGAAAATTAAACAAATGAATTTTTTTGGAAAATAAAGGTCATATAATATTACAATTAAAACACTGAAGAAATATTTTGATTATTCCTTAAAAATAAGGTTTTAATAATTTTAGTAGTAGTAGTAGCAGCCTGATACATGCTGAACAATAGTAATTCTGCTGCAGTGCCTTCAAGTGAAACCGAACTTTTATTTTGACGGGTTGCCGTGAATAACTTTACATTTCTGTGATGACATGATGTGTATGACATGATGATAGTTTTACTCAAATGAAACGGTCAAATGC